CAGAGGCCACAATTAATTGTACAATTAGGATTCCCGTTGCTTGACAGATACAGCTACTAATGGATCAGTGACAAGAGTGTTATGATCATAAAGAGGGAATTTTAATGTAGTGTTTAATTGCTCTTATGTGGTCGTCAGTGTCATAACTGAGGCTGCTTGAGCCCATTTGTTCTCCAGGCCTATTAGACGTAAAATATGTCGTTCATGCAGGGTCACAAAATGATGTAAGGGCAGTTACGGACAATGTTATTATGGTACTCAAGCATATGGAACTAATCAAGACCATACTGTGCGTACAGTTTTACATGGAGTGGTTTTGTGTTTGTGAATTTGTTTAAAATATGTCCAGATTGGGACTGACTAAATGGGTGTGTGAGTGGAAAAAAAAGGAACTGAAGCCATAAAGGATGAATGGATAACCCTCCACTTCATTTTAATATATCAGTATTTTGACTAGTGCCATGTTGTTTGACTTGAGGTCATTTCTCATCAATGCATTCTTCATTTCTTGTGTCCTCCAGACATTATCAGTTTCATGGTTGATATAGTTATTTTCTATTCACATCAATCTCTAAAAATAGCAAATTACATCAGTGCTCTGTCAATCTATCAAGAATAAAATAAAGTTTCAATTATTATTTTTAAGCTTTATTAGGACCTCTATAAAATAGACCTGTTAGGGTCTCTGCAACGTTAGTATGAAGGCAATCATGGAGTTTCATTGTACTTAGTACCAAACAAATAGGTATTTCCTGCCGTTTTCAATGCCCCTTAAATGCTCACCATGCTCTATAAGCATGACTAAAGAATGGCCTTTTGGGCCATGCAAAGAAGCAGCTATGTGCAAAGWGAGCATGACAAACCTGCCATGGGTTTCATGTCTCCACTAAAATGTGTCCATGGCCTTGTCACAGTCATGGCCTAGGCATGAGGTGAACATGGCCAGTCGTGCTTCAAATTCTTAACAACCAAACCACGCTAATGAACGTCAACCCCATGTCATGAACATTTCTGCCACTACCTCTCCCTACACTTCACTCAGGGTCCATATACGCGGTCAGAACAATAACAAACTTTTACAAACTCACTATGGGTATGCTCAAAACCTGTCCCATTACCTTGAGTAATAGTGATCCCACTCTGGTTTGAATACGCACCTCATTGGCAGGCCGGACCGAAGTTACCCGCGGGCCACAAACAACTCATGGACGCCAGTTGAATTAAGATTCTCTTGTATGTTTTTAAAAGCCTCAACAACACTGTTCCCTCTCAGATCTAGTGCATCCATATGTTCCACTGTGTTCTCTTAGGTCAGCCGATCAGCTGTTTTGATGGTTTCAAACTCAGAGGTGATAAATAAACTAAATGTCAGACTGTCTCCATCTCTCTCAGTCGTCAAGTCTCATTTAAAAAACACACTATCATGCCCTTCCCTTTGACTCTGAATGAGTTGGTTTAAAAACCTCAGTACTGTATACTGTATATTACAGCTCTGTTCTTACCATCTGTTTYAGGTCGTTTTAAAACATTTTGTATATTTAAACTCATGGAATTTACTCTGTGTTCTCAATGTACCTGTTTTATTGTACAGCATTCTGGTTGGCTTTGTTCTGTTTTAAGTGCTTTATAAACTAAAGTGGTATGGGTATAAGACAGTAATATGGGAACAAATCAGTATTGGTATTTCCAATAAAGCTAAATGCAGCAAAGCTGAATGAACCTGAAACCACCCTATAGCATGCTAATTATTTTTAAAGTCCAGATGTATTTCATTCTGACAATCTCGTTATGCCAAAAAATWTATAATTGACCCCTCTTTTGGTAATGTGGCCCCTGATGAGGATAAATCTGCCATGTTTCGGTTGGGGAGGGGGGAAAAGGAAAGCAAACAGAGGAATTCTCACATTTAACGTTCCATTTTCCTCCATTACTTTTTAACCTTTTTTTCTCTTTGCAGCAACTACATTGTCATGGAAAGCTGCTGAAAAGAGGTGCTGCTGCCAGTGAAGGCATGTCAAAACACACTCTGACCATGTTAATTAAAGATTCAACACGAGCACTGCTGGAATAAATTAATTTCTTTGGGTGAAAGAGCAGTAGGGCAAGCATGTGATGAAACATCTAAGCAAAAATAAGGAGTGGTGGGGGGATTTATGGTACAGACGATACATAAGCAGTCATATGTCAACAAGAAACAAATGAGTTTTTTATGCAGCTGCAAGTCTTGTTTTTTTGTATGTGTGTGTGTAGGATGTGTGTAAAAGTTGTCTCTGACTTCTCAGTCATGCAGCTATTTAGAACATTATGACACTTTAACTGAAGCAATTGCATAAATGACACTGAGCTATGGGATTATAGTGTGCACTTTATYTACTGTATATAATAGTATGTATTGTATGTAAACACACACTCACTCAACAATCTAAAGTTTGTGACAGAAAAGGTAAACAGCAATCATTCTTTTCCATCATGCTTTATTTGCCATAGGTGTCATCAGGAAAGCCTCAATGTTCTTATCTGATTTTTCTAAGTATACTTKTAGAAGATTATTGAGATTGGTGAAAGCACTAATGGAAAACAGTTTTCAGATATAAGCAGACACCAAATGTGTCTATTTTAGTACTTTAAAGTTAAAAAAAAATCAGGAAATGTTGCAAGGACTAATGGAGGAATATTTCTCGAGAAAATTGTCTAAAGTGTTCATTATTCTACAGGTTGAACAGCGTTTATGGCAGGGTTAACAGCCTCGGTGCCTGGCTGAGTATTATGGGAAGAAGTGAAGGTGGCATAAAGCGTTTTTTCTCCCCTGCTCTGCTGAAGTGCCGTGACGCCAGAGCCCACTGTCAGAGCTACTGAGCAGAGACTGGACAAGGGCAGTAGCCTCACCATCTGTTGCACGACAGCCGCAGTCACCCCGTATGTTAAGTGTGTGTCTGTGACAGGAGTGGGTGTGTGTTTGTCCCCGTCTGCATGTGTGTGAATATACAGGACCAAAAGGTTGTGTGAAAAAGTGTTGTGTGCATCATCTTTTTAAAAAGTCTGTACACAGTGAGTGTGCAGCTGCTGCCAGATGTTTCTGCATAACCAAGCTAGGAAAAAAGTGGTTTTGATGAACATTTGGAGTTAAAGTAATTTAAGATGGATCCTGAGAGATCCAGTAATATTATCTGAGATACGTACGAGGCTGAGATGGTAAGAAGTTTAACCAAAATGGCTATAACTTTGTAGATTGGTTTAACATTCTAGCATGAGAGATGGCGTGTCGTCCCTGCAGGGAATGTGGAGCATTTACAGTGAAAGTATTCAGAACCCTTTGAATTTTTCACGCTTTGTTTCATTGCAGCCGTTTGCTAAAATCAAAAAAGTTCATTTATTTCTCATCAATCTACGCTCAGCACCCCATTTTGACAGAAAAAAACCCAGAAATGTAG